TACCCACCTGGCTCAGGAACTAAATTACCGACACCACCAGTTCAGCTCCAAAGCGACCACAATTAGCCCCCAAGCCCATCTCGTCAAAAAGGATAGTCGCTAGTTGGTCGACATCAGACAATGTGGTTTGCTTGGTCCGAAAATTCAGAAACCACATTTTAGGCAAAGGGTGAAAAAATTACCAACTTCCTTCATGAAGCAATATAGCAATATCAACAACATTTTCTGGACATAGCACACATTACGCACAGGAAGTTTTGCCACCGGTGACCTGATAGTCTGGAAGTCAACCATTTTAAAGTTGAGGACTTCAGTTTGTCAGCATCAGAATCTGGGTACACTGTGCTACTGTGCTTCCAGTTAGCGTGGATCTACAGGATGTCAGTGTATAAGGCTGTACTATACAAATGGACACTGTAACAGGGTTCCCTATACAAATAGAACACAGATATACTTTCTTAGTAGATGGACAGATTGAACAAGTGGACTCTGCTTGGCCTGAACACACTAAAATAAATTTCTAATCATTATAAATTTAGGGTAAATAGAACGTAAGTCTGTTTTTGATAAAAAAAATTGATCTACCCGTTTTTATATTTTTTGTGACCAAAACACTATCAACAGTGTTTATCATCAACTGCAGAATCTTAAAGCAAATTGGTCCTTCAACATTTCATTCCTTCAACGCATGCAATAAACTTTTCTAAGTCAAAAGCGGGCTACAATGTGTGGTAGGAATATTAACAGCCCACAACTTAAATTGAAAACAATGACGGATTTTTCAACAACAATAAGATTGCATTTATAAAGCGCTTTTCACGTCGGGAGGACGTCCCAAGGCGCTGTACAGTTGGGTCGGGACCCGAGCAGGGGGGAAATGGTCAGGGTGAGGGGAGGGAAGGGAGGGAGCGAGGAGGGGTTAGAGAGTCGAGAGGGGAGGTGAAGGCACAGTTGAGGAGAAAGGTCTTGAGACCGGCCTTGAAGGAGGAAAGGGAGGAGGCGGCGAAGGCACTGGGGGATGGAGTTCCAGAGCCTCGGGGCTGAGAGGCTGAAGGCCCGGCCACTGATGGTAGGGCGGTTGGGGCGGGGGATGTGGAGCAGACTGGAGCCAGAGGAACGGAGGTTAAAGGCAGGTAAGTAGGGGGATAGTAGGTTGGAGAGGTAGGAGGGAGCAAGGCCTTGAATGGCCTTGTAGGTGAGGATCTTGAAATCAATCCTCTGGGGGATGGGGAGCCAGTGGAGGCGAGCGAGGGTGGGAGTGATGTGATCGCGAAGCCTGGTGCGGGACAGTACACGAGCTGCAGAGTTCTGAATGACCTGCAGCTTGTGGAGGGAGGTGCCGGGAAGGTCGACGAGGAGAGAGTTCCCGTAGTCCGGCCTTGAGGTGATAAAGGCGTGGACCAGAGTTTCAGCAGCGTGAGGGGTGAGGTAGTGCCGTAGTCTGGCGACATTCCGGAGGTGATGGAAGGTGGTGCCAGTTGTGGTGCGGATATGAGGGAGAAAGGACAGCTCAGGGTCGAACAGAACCCGAGGTTCCTGACTGGCTTTGAGAGGTGGAGAGTGCAGCCTTGGATGCTGATGCTGTCAGCGCCTGAGGTGCGGAGGCGCTGACGTGAGCCAATCAGGAGGGCCTCAGTTTTGCGCACGTTGAGCTGAAGAAAGTTGTCTCTCGTCCAGGACTCGATGTCGGACAGGCAGGCTGTCAGGACATCGGTGGTCGTGGAGTTGAGGGTAGAAGAGGAAAGGTAGAGTTGGGTGTCATCCGCATACATGTGGAAGTTAACCCCATGTCTGCGGATGATGTCACCAAAGGGGGAGCATATAGAGGGTGAAGAGGAGGGGACCGAGGACAGAGCCCTGAGGGACACCGCACCAGACAGTGAGGGGGCTGGAGGAAAAGCCGTTAGTGGAAACAAAATGAAGATGGTGGGAGAGGTACGACCTAAACCACTCAAGGACAGGGCCTTGAAGGTTGAGGTGGGAGGACAAGTAGTGGAAGAGGATAGAGTGGTCGACCATATCAAATGCTGCCGAGAGGTCGAGGAGGACGAGGAGGCAGAGGGAGCCCTGGTCACAGATGGTCAGGATGTCATTGGTGACCTTGACCAGAGCAGTTTCTGTGCTATGGGCAGCACGGAAACCCGACTCAAGGGGTTCGAATAATGCATGAGTGGAGTGGAAAGAGCGTAGCTGGGAGGCGACAACTCTTTCAAGGACCTTGGACCGGAAGGGGAGGTTGGAGATGGGCCGGTAGCTTGATAGCTGTGACGCATCAAGGGAGGGTTTTTTCAGTGTGGGAGTGATGGTGGCAGTTTTGAGGGGAATGGGAACAGAGCCAGAGGAGAGGGACAGGTTGACGATGTCTGTGATATGTGGGGCAAGGAGGTGGAGCTGAGAGATAAGCAGTGGAGTGGGGATGGGGTCCAGGGAGCAGGTGGTGGGTTTCAAGGACAGGATGAGATTGGTGACAGAGGGTGGGGAAACGTGTTCGAAGGCGTGTAGGGGAGGATGGGTAGGAGTCGGAGTGTGGGAGGGAAGGGGTGTGAGGTGGGTGGAAGTTGGAGGGGCAATGGCCGCGGAGCGGATTCCCTTGATTTTGGATTCAAGGAAATCCAGCATCTCCTCGCAGTGAAGGTTGGAGGAGATGACCTGCACGGGGTGGCGGGGGGGACGGTGGAGTCGAGATGTGGTGGAGAACAGAAACCTGGGGTTGTTCTTCGCCTCCAGGATTATCCTGGAGTAGAAGGATGACTTGGCCGAGGCTAGAGTGTAGCGGTATGTTTTGAGGAGGTCCAGCCAGATTTGCCGGTGGACCGTTAGGCCAGATTTGAGGCAGGTGCGTTCAGCAGCCCACACCTGGTTCTTACGTGAGAGGAGGTGGGATGTGAACCAGGGGGAGGAGCGAGAGTAGGAGACAGTACGGGAGGTGATGGGGGCAAGAGTGTCGAGTGTGGAGGAGAGGGTGTTGTGGAGGAGGGTGAGAGCAGAAGAGGGGTCAGTGAGGGATGAAGGCCAGAGGGAGAGGAGTTCAGAGGACTCCAAGGCAGCGGTTAGGGATTGTGGGGGTAACTTCTTCCAGGGGCGGTAGAAGATGGTGGTGGGTCTGGTGGAGGTAGGGAGGGGGTGGAGGTGGTGAAGGAGATGAAGTGGTGATCGGAGATGGCCTTGTCGGTAATGGTGACATCCGAGACACTGAGGCCCCGGGTGATCACCAAATCGAGTGGGTGGCCGTGAATGTGAGTGGCGGAGTTGATGTGGAGGGAGAGGTTGAGCGAGGAGAGGAGGGAGGAGAAGTCTGAGGAGGTGGAGCAGGAGGGAGTGAAGTGCAGGTTGAAGTCGCCCAGGATGATGAGGCGATCAGAGCAGAGGCAGAGAGATGTTAGGAGGGTAGAAATGTCGGAGATGAGGGTGGGGGAGGTTTTAGGGGTCCGGTAGAGGAGGAGGATTTTGAGTGAGAGATGGGAGGGGTAGGAGAGGGTGAGGTGCTCAAAAGAGGGGAAAGAGCCAGAGGAGTAGGGGGATAGGGCAAGTGGTGTCCTTGAGATAAGGGCTATACCACCGCCACGGCGGTTGGGGCGAGGGATGTGGTGGGAGGTGTAGCCGGGTGGCGTGGCCTCCGTGAGGGGGAAGGTGTCGCTTGGGGTGAGCCAGGTTTCAGTTAAGGCCATGATGTCTGATGACCAGGGCCTTATTACAGAGGGAGCGGACGTTTTGTAGTCCGATGTGGAGGGAGCGGTTGACAGGAGAGTGTGTGGGGAGGGAGCGGTGTCCAGGTTATGAGGCAGGGGTGGGGGGGATGGGGATGAGGGAGGAGAGGTTGGCTCCCCGGGTCTGTGTCTGGGGTGGCTGGCGAGTACGGTGGGGAATGGGGCAGTCGGTGTGGCACTTCTGTTGAAACATAACTGATCATCTCTATACGAAGCATTACACCTATGTCTATGTTTGCCTATCTTACAGTTAAATGTATGAGGATACAATATTTGTTGTTGCCGGACAGTATACATTAGTTCCAGTACCTCACCAGCACCTCATTATAGAAAATCTGACCCTACAGTTGAAAGGGTAGAACCGATCCCCAGGATAGAAGAGCGAGAGGATTTGTTGTAAATAAGCAGCAGCATCACAGCACCGTTCAATCATCATATATAACAAAGTAATCATCACTCAACTCCAACTAAACACATAACTAAATAAATCTTAAAGAAGTCGCTCTTTAGCAGCTCGGGCATCAAACAAACCCATTTGCTGCTTAAAATCAGAAATGCAACTTGAATAAAAGTATTTCCCTTCTGACCACCCCTTCCCCCCCCCACCGCCTCTCCCCCGATAAGAAACCGTTTGGATTTGTTTGCAACGGCGCAGAAAAAGAAAAAAAAAGCTTCAGCGAAGGACGGATGTTTTGCGACGACTTTCACGGAAAAATATAAGAGTCGCCGCACTCCGCAGCGAGAGCTTCGAAGACGTCCTCCCGACGCGAAAGGCGCTGATACCAAAGGTAAGGAAGGTTCACTGTGGAGCAACAACAACAACAACAAGATTCCATTTATAAAGCGCCTTTCACGTCAGGAGGACGTCCCAAGGCGCTGCACAGTTGGGTCATGACCCGAGCAGGGGGGAAATGGTCAGGGTGAGGGGAGGGAAGGGAGGGAGCGAGGAGGGGGGAAATGGTCAGGGTGAGGGGAGGGAAGGGAGGGAGCGAGGAGGGGGGAAATGGTCAGGGTGAGGGGAGGGAAGGGAGGGAGCGAGGAGGGGGGAAATGGTCAGGGTGAGGGGAGGGAAGGGAGGGAGCGAGGAGGGGGAAATGGTCAGGGTGAGGGGAGGGAAGGGAGGGAGCGAGGAGGGGGAAGAGAGTCGAGAGGGGAGCTGAAGGCTCGGTCAAAGAGAAAAGAGCAGTGTGAGAGGCTGGAGTTGCTATGGCGAGGAGTAGCCTGGACCCCCCCCCCCCACTCTCGTGTCCCAGACCCCCTGCCCGACCCCCGCTGGCTGTGACTGTTACTCACAGGTCGGCCAGCACCGTGATCTCCTGGTAGGTCCTCTGCAGTAGGAAGTCGATCAGCATGCTGAGCCGCACACCGGGGCTGGCGGCGGCCGCGGCCGCTGCTGCCGCCGCCGCGGCCGCGGCTGCCGAAGGCGGGGGGGCCGAGGGCGGGCCGCCCGCCGACACCAGCTGCGAAGTCTCCACCTGAACCGGGGCCATGGCTTCCGCTCGCTGCCCGGACCCGCTGCCCGGGCCCCGGCCGCCAGTCAATGGGGGAAGCGACCTCTGTCCGTCTGTCTGTCTGTCTGTCCGCTGTAGGGCGGGGATCAGCTGAGAGCGAGCGGGCGGCCTCAGGCTCCGTCCATACAACGGCGGCGGCGGCGGCTGGGACCCTCCCCGGGGTGGAAGGCGATTTGATTGGTTTCCTTTCTCTCTATCGGGGGAGCAAACGCCGCCGCGAGCGGACGGCCTCCGCCATGTTGATGCAAACCAGGAAGTGAACGCGAACCATGACCCGGAAGGACACTCCGCTCCTACCCCCTTCCCCCCCCTCACACACACACACACGCAGAGGGAGGTGCAGGCTTGTCACTCCACGTCGCCGGATTGGGCGGCTTCACGCCCAATTGGGCGGGTTTATCTTGTGCTGTGCGTTAAATCATGGTCTGGGCGGGTGCCTCATTTTTAAACGTTTTTGAATTTAATTTAAACCTGCAAAAAAAAAAAAAAATTTCATTTGGAAAAGATCTTTGCTCAGGGTCAGACTCTGCCACTGTCAGTCGCTCTACGCCGCACTTTCAGACGTCTTGATGACATGATAAGGCACTATATTAAAATGTAAGGATTATTATTTTTACCAACTGCGCACTATAGCCTTTGCCACTGAAATCAACTGAAATCTGAGGTCAAGAGATTTGTCATTGTATTCCTTGTGATAGGAAAGATAGGAAAGATCTCGGATTTAATTTAGTGTAGCTTCAATTCCTGAAGAAAGTTCAACATTTTCCCATTGTTAGCACGTTCAACCTGCTTTCTTGACAGAGAAGAACAACTACAAAGTTATTTTTTGTGAAGTTCTGAAACCATTTGATATTATATAAGATGGTGCAGTGACCCGATGTCCTAGAGGTTTTAAGTGCCGACTGTGGGTTAGCATGGTGATTTCTTGATTTCACCTGTATCATTGGAGGGTATCCCAAGCAGAGGTCATCGTATCCCAAACAGAGGACAGGTGCGTAACATAGTGAGAGTGGAAAGAATCAGTCACTCGGGCCATTAACATTAGCCACAGAGCTAGTAACTGAGTAAGATTGGCTCTGGAAACAAGGAAAAGAGGGCACAACAACGTAGGTGACCACCAACCTACGATTGTGAGCCAATTTACTGTTATGTTAGTTGTATTGGCACAATCAGACTTGTGCTGGAGATGCTTAAAGAACAGAGCTACATTGCCGTACGCATTACATTTTTGTTTCAGTAGTAAACATCTCATTGAAAACTCAAGATGTCAATGCTTTGATTTGACTGTGGCCCAGGGGGATACTGAACCAACATAGGAATAAAAGAGACAAGAGCAAAGCTTAATAGGAAAACAAGTAATTATTTTACAATACACTGACCCCCCTCCCCACCACCACACACACCTGCCTTGAAAGAGTAAATAGGCCTCAGCTTGGTAACTTTTTGAGGAAATGGGACACTTCAATTCACTGAGCATAATTCATCTTTGTCACTGCACAACCAGTTCTAATGCCTTGTAATCACACACAGTCCCTTACTTGATTTTGCTCCTCCTGGATCAACAAAGTCAAGGAATGCAGAAGCCAATTTTAGTAACTTTTTTAGTACTCAATTGAAATAAGAAAATTCAACAGAAGCTGATGATAGAATATAGAACCTTCCTAGCCTGTAAGATTCAGCTCAGACTTAGCGGTGGATTCACCAACTGGGCAATCAGCAAAGCTCATTTTATTTATTTTATAGTATTGTATTTGAGATAATAATATTTGAGTTTGCATGAAAAAAATAATGCTGGAAACAGTTTGCAAACATTTGATATTTTTGTGGTGTGTTGAATGACAGCAAATGCTTTGTGCTTTCATGTTTGAGTGAAGGCAATAGTGTAGCTCCAGAGCATCAGGTGTGACTTAGGAATATTGTGATAAATTTGCACTACACATCTCCCTAGTTGCAAGCACTGTAGACAAAAAAAATGCTGTTTACTTATTATCTCTGTTCTGAAGCATAGGAAATTGAGTCAAATTGGTAGGATTTGTGAGATAGTTTGCAGTCCTGGAAGACTTATTGAAATTGAAATGTCATAAATCTGCATGGATGTAAAATGGATGTAAAGTATCAATGAATATTTATTGGATCGTAGTTATTAGGATGGAATTGTATAATTCTCCTGGGGAATAATGTTGGATGTGTACACTTGCATTTCAGCATGAACAAACTGAGCTTAGCTGGAATTGTTGCAGCTCAGTAAATTGTTAGTTAGACTTACTAGCACAAGGGATTTGGTGTGTATGTCACCAAAGATCAAAGAAGCCTTGGGGAGACCAACTATAGTGTTTGCAGTGTCTTCTTTGAGAATTAGAATAACTGACAATAGCCAGTTCCACATCTAATAGATCATCCTTATTATTTAATAATTTTATTAACCACACTGATTTATCCATGGCTGATTTGAATAACCTGGAATCTCTAAAAGAAAGCATTGATGTGACAGATCTGAGACGACCAATGTTGGAAACCTACTGATCTCCTGGTTACTCAACGTACAACTGTTTGTGAGTCAACGCTGTGCACAATTGGCCGCCGTGTTTCACCCGCAAAATATACAGTCAATATCCTCGCTTTGAGACATCTCAATGACGTGATAAGGCGCTATATCAAATCCAAGGATTATTATTATCATTATTATTAGGGGAAAAAAGGTTAAACACTGAGGGGAGAAGAGAAATTTGAAAAATAAGAAAATGAATTGCGCAGATCTGCTGATGTAAGTAATTGAGTCAATGCAACAATTTTGGCATTTTTATCCTTGTAAAGCTATGAGCTTAAAAAGTATTCTGGATTTGAAGTCCAAATTGAAGTCCGAATCTACATTAGACTTACATATACATTAAAATATATCTAATATTGACATTGGTGTGCAACTGTAATTGGCCAGCCAATCTTACAGAAGATGTAAAAACTTGGATCCATTGTTGTTGATATGTCTTCCTGATAAACTATTCCAACTATTAATTACCCTCTGCGTAAAGAAATACTTCCTGATGTCTGTCCTGATATTGTCCTTGAAAGCCCTGAACCTATACCCATTTGTCCAGCTGCCTTGATGTAACTGAAAGAAATGTTCTGGTTTATTTTTTCAATTCCATGTAGCAACTTTTGCACCTCTTCAAGAATGTAAGAATGTGTGAAAATTGTGAGAGTCTCTTTTTTAGGTTGAAGAGCCCCATGTTATAATAATAATAATCCTTGCATTTGATTTGGCGCCTTATCACGTCTTTGAGACGTCTCAAAGCGCTTCATAAAATATGGTGTAAAGTGAGTTAACTGTATATTTTGTGGGCGAAACGAGGCAGCCAAATGGTCACAGCAGTGTCCCACAAACAGTCGTGGATTGAAGTGACCAATTTATTATTTTTTTTGAAGAAATTATTATCCCCAGAAAAGAGATCCACCAATTGACTGACAACCGGGTTCCTACTTACTGCTTGGTAAACAGGTATGTGGAGTAAGGAAACTTGCACAACATTTCGCCCTGTCAGGAATCAAACCCAGGCCTCTCACTTGTGAGGCGAGTGCTCTAACCGCTGAAATATAGGACTCCACAGGACTACAGTTATCTAATCATTCCTCACAGCTTGTCCTAACAGTGTCCTAACATCCTTGTTCTCTTCTGCACTGGCTCTTAAGACCTGGGCAGCCCACGTATGTTGCAACGACCAGATTGTATGCAGAATTCCAGATCTAGTCTCAGCAGAGCACTTGACTTGTGAGAATCTCAACTCAAATGATTTGGTAAAAGAGGCCTACTTTTTTTTGTTTAGTGCTGCCTATATTATTTGGACATAGCAAGTGACAAGTCAACTGACATCCTAAGGACTTTTTTAACCTCCCTCTTGACATGTTCTGTCCCATCCATGGAGCACATATGCCTCATATTTTACTCTCTATATTCATTATCTTGCATTTATCTGAATTGAACTTCATCTGGCAGTGACTAACCAAGATATGTAGTGTACTGAATTCTCTTGCTAAGATCTTTGCTGCTCTCCTCGCTCAACCTCTCCCTCCACATCAACTCCCCCACTCACAGTCACGGCCACCCACTCGACTTGGTGATCACCCGGGGCCTCAGTGTCTCGGATGTCACCATCACCGACAAGGCCATCTCCGACCACCACTTCATCTCCTTCACCACCTCCACCCACCTCCACCAGATCCACCACCATCTTCTACCGCCCCTGGAAGAAGTTACCCCCTCAATCCCTAACCGCTGCCTTGGAGTCCTCTGAACTTCTCTCCCGCTGGACTTCAACCCTCACCGAGCCCTCTTCTCCTCTCTCCCTCCTCCACAACATCCTCTCCTCCACACTCGATACTCTTGCCCCTATCACCTCCCGTACTGTCTCCTACTCTCGCTCCTCCCCCTGGTTCACCACCCACCTCCGCTCACTGAAGAGCCAGGTGCGGGCCGCTGAACGCACCTGGGTCAAATCTGGCTTAACGGTCCACCGACAAATCTGGCTGGACCTCCTCAAAATCTACCGCTCCACTCTAGCCTCGGCCAAATCGTCCTTCTACTCCAGGATAATCCTGGAGGCGAAGGACAACCCCAGGCTACTGTTCTCTACCACATCCCAACTCCTCCGTCCCCCCCGCCACCCCGCGCAGGTCATCTCCTCCAACCTTCACTGCGAGGAGATGCTGGATTTCCTTGAATCCAAGATCAAGGGAATTCGCTCCGCGGTCACTTCCCCTCCAACATCCACCCACCACCCACCCCTTCCCTCCCACACTCCGACTCCTACCCATCCTCCCCTACACACCTTCGTACCCGTTTCCCCACCCTCTGTCACCAAACTCATCCTATCCCTGAAACCCACCACCTGCTCCCTTGACCCCATCCCCACTCCACTCCTTATCTCCCAGCTCCACCTCCTTGCCCCACATATCACAGACATCGTCAACCTGTCCCTCTCCTC